TCTCTATAGAGCATATGTATCACACATGATTTGAAAATAGTATAGCTTTACTAACAAAAGAGCTATATAAGTTTTTATAGAATGATGTGGTTGCATCGAGATCTTTCATTTTAAACAACACACAATTACATTCTAAATTCTCACTATACAACACTGTGTCCAGTACTACAAGAAGAATTTCAAATGTGCTATTCATAACTTTCACTTGAAGGTATAATAGTGCTGTTAGTATGGTTATCTCGAAATGGCTTTTGACTTTCTAGCATTATATTTCTTTTATTGTTGTTAGAAAACAGTAAGAATAAAATTTATATTAGGAAAACAGCTCATTATATATAAATGAGGGCAAAAAGTATTGAACCCCCTCTAATTTTGGATGGTTGCAGTTGACTCTCTTGTCGTTTGAAAATATACAGACACCTCCCTTATGATTTTGGATTGATTTACAATCATCATACTATTAATATTCATGTCAAAAAGATTAATTTATCCTTACACACACTCACCCCCACACACACGTCACACAGATGCTCTCTCTCTCTCTCTCTCTCTCTCTCTCTCTTCAGCATGTATCACATCACATCACTCACCTCACTTTTTTAATTAAAAAACAAAACAAATATTATTCAATTTTATTTTAATAAAATACATATAATTTTTAATATATAAATTTAATTTTTATAAAATTAATGACAGTGTTTAGATTTAGTTTTCTAAATTTAATTTTTTAAAATTTGAGTTTTCTATTTTTCGTATTTTTTTGTTTTTAGTGAATATTTTTAAAATTTTATGCAATTTTTTTTACTTTTTTAAATGTATCTTACTTAGATGTATCTAAATAGTAAAATATTTGTGAAACAATATTTTTTAAAATTAATAGATACACAAAAATACGAAAAATGTACTAAATTTTCATATTTATTTATTTTTGTAGTTTTGCTATTTAGTGAATTTTTTAACGTTTTTTTTTTCACAAATATTATACTTTTTAAGTGTATTTATGTTAGATGTGTCTAAAAATTAAAAAAAGTTTCTTAATATATTTAAAAAAATCAGTGAAAACAAAAAAATGCGGAAAACGAAAAAGTAAATTTTTTTGAAAAGTGAATTATAAAAACTGAAACTAAACAGAGTGATATTATTCAAAAAAATATCAACAAAATTTTGAAACAAGACTAATATTTATCATATTTAATAAAAATTTAAATTAATAACTCAACAAATATATAAAAAAAACTTACATAATTAACCAATAAAAATTAAGTTGGGAAGTCACGTTTAGTTATTGAAAAAATAATCCTAAAAAAATTAAGATTTTTTGTGGCACATTGTAAATTGGATTAGCTCGAATGCTCCAAAATTATTGTCAATATTTCAAAATAATTCTAATATCATCACGATATTAATGAAAAGATAGAATGAGCTAGGCAAAGTTGTTGAAAAAGGTAATGCAAACAAAGTCTATTGTACCAAACCAAATTGGCAGCATGGTTACTATGATACATTAAAAATAAAAATATAAAAAAACCTACTAAAGGTAGCTAAGAGTTAACATTTAAGACAATGGTTGAATAAGAGACTGATAAAGGGAAGCAACATAATTAAAAATAATCTTTTAAAAAAATGGCATAAATGGTTACAAAACCAATTTTACAAATTTCTCTCCATCAAATTAAACCAAAATTGGAACAAATCTCTAAATTATTAAATTCAAACTGGAGAATATTGTTTATTTATTTAAAAATAAAAATAATAAGAGAGAGAAAATTAAATTGAGAAATCTTTACCAAGCTTAAGAAATGGACTCATTTAAAATCATTAAATCCTCAAATCTCGAAGAGAGCTTTTGGATTTTGTTGTAATCATAAAAATGAAATTTTAAGGTTTTTTTTTTTAATTAAATAAGGAGTTAACTTATGACTTTATTAAAATTGATGTGTCGAGTTTATTAGAAAAAGAATGAGGAAAAAATCATAGTAAAACAACCAATTTATTATTTAACAAAATCTCAATAATTTTGACATGTCAAAAGAGTCAACAAGCAACAGGGTATCCTATTTAATTGAAAACATAGGACGAAAAAAAATAAAAAATAAACAAGTATAAGAAAATTTCCAAAACCTTAGGCAAGAGAGAATAAAAAGACATCATTTTTTGCTATAAGAGTATGTCTATAAACGAATTAAGTAGTAAGTAAATTAAATATGATTTGAAAAAACAATATAGCTCTACTAACAAAGGAACTATATAAGTTTTTATGCAAAATGATGTGGTTGCATTGAGTTCTTTCATTTTAAACAACATATTACATTCGAAATTCTCACTATGTAACACCGAGTCCAGTACTACAAGAAGAATTTCAAATGTGCTATTTATAAACTTTCACTTGAAGGTATAATAGTGCTGTTTGTATGGTCATCTTGAAAGTGCTTTGACTTTGTAGCATATATATATATATATTTTTTCATTGTTGTTAGAAAACAGTAAGAATAAAATTTATATTAGGAAAACAAAAATTTATATTAGGAAAACAACTCATTATATATAAATAATGGCAAAAAGCATTGAACACTATGTAGTTTTGGACGGTTGCAGGTGACCGTCTTGATGTTTAAAAATATGCAGGCATCTTCCTTATAATTTTGGATTGATCTGCAATCATCACGCTATTAATATCTATGTCAAAAAGACTAATTTATCCTTACACACACTCACCTCCACACACACGTCACACACATGCTCTCGCTCTCTCTCTCTCTCCCTCTCTCTCTCTCTAGAGCTTATGTATCACATCACATCACTCACCTCACTTTTTTAATTAAAAAACAAAACAAATTTTATCCAATTTTATTTTAATAAAATACATATAATTTTTAATATATAAATTTAATTTTTATAAAATTAATGATAGTGTTTAGTTTCAGTCTTCTAACTTCAGTTTTTTTAAAATTGAGTATTTTATTTTTCATATTTTTTATTTTATTTTTAGTGAATATTTTTAAAATTTTAAACAATTTTTTTACCTTTTTAGATACACCTTACTTAGATGTATCTAAATGGTAAAATATTTGTGAAAAAATATTTTTAAAAATTAATAAATACACAAAAATATGAAAAATGTACTTTTTTTTTTTTTGTATTTTTGGTATTTAGTGAAATTTTTAAAGATTTTTTTTCAAAAATATTATACTTTTTAAGTGTATTTATGTTAAGTGTGTCTAAAAATTAAAAAAATTGCTTAAAATATGAAAAAAAATTCAGTGAAAAAAAAAAAAAAAACCGAAAAACTAAAAAGTAAAATTTTCTGAAAAGTGAATTCTAAAAACTGAAACCAAACAAAATGATATTATTCAAAAAAATATCAACAAAATATTTAAAATAAGACTAATATTTAACATATTTAACAAAAATTTAAATTAATAATTCAATAAATATATAAAAAAACTTACGTAATTAAAATAATTTGTATGATTTGAAATTAATGTAAATAAAAATTATTCAGAATTATTTTTTGAACAGAGAAATATTTAAAAAAATATAAAGACTAATAAAAAAATATTAACTCAAATTGTACGAAATTAATAATAATAATAATTATTATATTCAAGCTACACAAATGTTAACTTAAATTGTATAAATAAAAAATACAAATAAACAATACATATATGAATAAATAAACCATACAAATATTATTTTTGTATTTTTATTAACTCAAATCAATTTTTATTAACTCAAATCATAAAATAAAAATAATACAAAAAAAAAAGTTCACTAAAAATAACCAAAAAAATAGTCACATATATTTTAGCATTAAAAATAGTTTAAAAAAACTATGTCATGAGAAATCCAATTTATCATATTTGATTGAATTATGTCTTCTATTTTTAAAAAAAATAAAATAAAACTAATTTGTTAAAGAAAAGATTATTTTCTTATGATTCTATAAATAAATTGTATAATAAAGTTTAATAAAATATAATCAAGTGTTTCCCTCCATGTTGATTGCAAAAGACATTTCAATATTCCTCACAAATTAAATAACAAAGTTTAAAGAAAATTAAACAATAAAATTAAAAAATAAAAAAGACACTATAGAGTGGAAAACAAATTAAACAAATAAATATTTGATTAAACAAAAAATAAAATAAATAAGAGTTTAAAATATAACTGGGAAAAAAAAATTGTATAATAAGTTTAATAAAATATAATCAATTGTTTCCCACTCCAATGTTGTTTGCAAAAGACATTTCGACATTTCTAACAAATTATATAATAAAGTTTAAAGAATATTAAACAATAAAAATAAAAAATGAAAAAGGCACTATAGAGTGAAAGACAAATTAAACAAATAAATATTTGATTAAATAAAAAAATAAAAAATAAATAAGAGATAAAAATATAATTAAGAAAAATAAAATAAAAGGGAGAGGGAGGACTAATTGCTCCTAGATGGTTTCACTTTTCTCTCCAATTTGGGTGGAGTATAGCATTCCTAGCATTGTCTTATATAGTAAAGGGCAGGATCATTTTGGCCTTTCAATTTCAATCAAACCATTTTTGTAGGAAAAGTTGTCAAACGAAGCAATACATGCAAATGGGGGCGTGCGTAGCCCACTTGCTCTTTGTTTGGTTGGAAAAGGTAATAGTTGCAGATTAATCCAAAATCATAAGGGAGGTGTCTGTATATTTTCAAACGTCAGGAGTTATTTGCAACCACCCAAAATCAGAGGGGTTAAGTGCTTTTTGTCATATAAATATAATATGTTGTTTTTATATGCAATTGCTGTTTTCACATTAATATGCATAAATAAATTTGATGGCATATTTGGTTCTCTGGAGTTAAGGTTGGTCATTCTGTCGGAATACCCATTCTCATATTTGGTTCGGCAAAGGAAAGAAATGTACAATACAAATAAAATCACCATCTTCCAATTCAAGAGAAAGACTGTTCCATCGAGAGACTAAAAATAACTATTCTATTCCTGCCCAAAATTATTCCAGAAAACCAAACACTACCTAAGAATGTCCTAGACAAAAACATCTGCACACTAAAAAGGGGACAAACCAGAATTTTAATTCATCCTTCAAAAAACAATTTAACCCAGTCGTTGAATGTTGTAAAAATTACACCTTTTACAATTGGAACATGGTCACAGTGCTCCTGGTTACATTTTTTCTCTATACCTTTACCAACAATCTGACCTATGCATCTATAGTAGAGATATTAAGCAATTAAAAAGAATATAGAGGAAGAAGATAAGTCCTGTTTGGCAAGTATGATTTTCCAATATACAGGCAATAAGCTTCCTCTGGCAGCAGCTAAAGACAATGCTGTCAAACACGAAAAAATGTGTCCTGGAGGCTTGCAGGTTATCATCCCTTTTAAGTGCTGTCTTCCTCAAAAGTTTTGAAAATGAAATCACGAAAGCGCTTTGAGTATTGTTTTGGATCAACTGCTGATATTGAGGTTGGGTCATATTGGATAGACTTGTAGGCATGCTCAAGCTTCTTCGTAATGTCATAGTCTTGTAATATGTCGATGATGCCAAAGAACATAACTACATCATAGTACTCGCCTGTTGGTTCTCCTACTAGCTGAAATTCACAGTCGTTCTTTCTCTCAGTTCTTTCAACTCTTGCGGGCATGTTCACTCCTAGCCTTATACTAGCCCACCTGCAAAATTACTCAAATGAATGAAAATACTTCAAGAGTTATTAATTTACATTTTATAGACATGTATATATATGTACCTCGAGGGTGCATCTATTGACTTTCAATTCCATTTCAATATAGATCGTTTATGATATGTTTCGATTTTAAATTTGTGGACGAAAAAGGAAAACGTAAAGGAAAGAGAAAAGTCAGGAAAAGGAAATGAAGAAAAAGAAACAATATTCTTTTCTTTTGATTGATTGGTTAGTTTGTCCCAAACATACATAAATACAAACAATTGGAAGATTGATTATTTCTGGTCTATTATGAAGATTCTTTGTTGTTATTGAGTTATTTTATTCTTCCTATTATGAACTCTTTCATGTATTGATTTCTGAGTTTCTAAATTGTGTTGTTGAACTATGATTTTCCTAATTGATGTAATTCTTTTCATATTTGTAAACATTATCCGATCGATTGACGCCAAAGAAAAATATTATCCAAAATATCATTACTAATAGGTTGAAGTAATTTCATTTTTTTTTCATTTTTCTCTCCCTCGACATATATAAATTCAAACATAGCATTAGTGCAGAGATATTTTACCCTGCTGGATCTAAAAGAAGTTGATCCACATCTACTCTTGAAAGCCGGGGAGCTGATGATTCAGTCTCTAGGTCATCGATATCTGCTGGAAAGAAAAGGACACATTAGTTTTCTTTCTTTATTGAGAAAAGAATTAAGCTAACTTTTATTTGTTTGGACGGGAAATATTTTCTTACAAAGAACATTTGAAAACATAAACAGATCATAAGATTATGGCTGGAATTTGGCAACATGTCAGGTTCAGGCTCATACCAGATAGAGTAAAGATAATTTTACTCAAAAACATAAACATCATTTTTGTTTTCATCAACATTAATCCATGTGTAACAATGAACTATTCCTCGCCAATTAAATCTAAAAAACCAGAAAGAAAAAGAAAAGATTTAGGGACAAGTAATAACCGATAGGTGTTCGAGCTCCAGAGGGAATGAGACTGCCAGCTGTAGTTGTATCTATGAAGTGAAGGCCAACTAGAAGGCTGTAGTCCATGATTCTTTCCTGTTCCAGAAACTCACAGTCCCTGTCGATTTGCCTGCTTATTTTATTTTATTTATTTATATAAAAAACACAAATGTTCACTTTTAATGCCTGCTGAAAAATGAATGAAACTTGAAAACAATTTCAAGGAGCACAGAGAAATTCTAGTTTGATTTATGCCCATTTGGTTGCATGCAACCACATTTTAGAAATGGAATAAATACTATGGTGACATGCTAGAACCCCACAAAGAGTAGGGGTGTACAAAGAAACTGGTAAATCTGTCTAGACCAATCCAAACCACATGGTTTGGTCTCTTTTTTCAAGAGACGCCTTGGTTCCAGTTCTAAATAATCAAGAACTGTTAGATTATGGTTCATGGAACCATATGTGGGTGTCTCTCTTGTGTATACCAATGCAATTGTACACTGTTGATTATGGTTCATGGAACCATATCTGGGTGTATGTCTTGTGTATACTACGAATTATTGTATTGTGTAATAATGTAATGCAATTGTACCTTATGCCCTCCGTATCTGTACTATCTTTCCTATAGTTGTACGAGTGAGCATGACAGTGTATGTTGTGCATGTGAGTGAACACTAAATATAATAAAGGTGTTTTGTCATCTAGTGTCTATAGACAACGCCATATAAACCTTGTACTAAATATAGCACATAGGTGTCCTACCTGTTTATCCTACAATGTTCCCCTCAGTCTATTTAGGCTGTGTTTGGTTAAAGGATTTGGAAAGGGATCCAAATCCTTTAATCAGACAGGGCCTTAAGGAGTTCAATGTTAAACTAGATCTAAGAAATGAGGTATTGTATTTAATGTATGATCATTGTTTATGTTGTAATCAATTAAATTCAAGTTGCATTTATGTTCTTTTGCAATTAATTAATCTTATATCGATAATTGGGATTTTTTTTGAATATAATAGCCCAAAATCCTAGTATCAAACCTAACCAAACTAATTTTTATGATCAGTTAGATAATTTCAATGATGTGATTCTAGAGTCCTGCTATGGACATACCATTTTCTACTGGCTTCTAATCTTATTCTTCTAAGGCATCTTAAAACTGGACCAATATGGTCCATGAAGGCTCCGAAAAAAAAGATAAAAAGGGCAGTCCCGAAATCCAAATGCATGAGACTTCTGCTACTCTAAGATGTATCCGGTCTTTCTACCATGTGCAAAGAAACTGGCTCTGTGGACAAAAGAAAAGGATCAAAAACCAAAAATTCACCTTCGGAATTCTTGAAACCAAGTCTTTTGGAGTCGGAAGATGAAGTTGAGATCAAGGTCTTTAAGAATGGTGGTTGCATCAATCTCTGCTTCAGGCTTGTCTGTCATGCGGCCAAGGGAAGACCCTTTCAAGTCAAATCGTCTGTGAATTGTGTATTCTGAACAGAACAGATTCCCCATGATGATAAACCGTACCTAACAATCATATCAATCACATTAAGCACTTATACAGCAATGTATGAAATTTGAAAATGAAAATGAAAATAATCATATTGATCCTCTTGTTGTTGCTTTATTTATTATTACCTTCTTCTGAGCAGGACCATTCAACTTCACACAGTGCAACCCATAAAATTTGGCCACCAGAGTGTTCTCAAAGGCCCGAACATGATTGTAGTAGGCTGAAAGCATCCTTAAAAGAACCTAATTGCACCATGACAATGGAAAATTAGATGAGATCAATAAAACTAAAACTACTGACCCAGAATTACCCAAAATTCACACATAAAATGTTTTTGTCCAATTCAACTCTTGTATGGTGAAACCCGTACCTAGAATGAATCTGAATCACAACATGTTTTAGGGTATGTTTTTGAATAATGCCATGGAGTCCGAAAAAGTTAAGGTGAATTTGTCTAAAAATAAAATGTGTTAATAATGTATTGGTCCAAAGGTCCTATCAGTTACGTTTGTTATTAATGTAATATTGACAAATGAGTTTGTTAACAAAATATGATAAGAAACTATGGTCATGAGGGCATTATTATTTTTTTGGAAAATGATCCACAAACAAAATTTCTATACAGAATTTATTACAAGAATGATGTGACAGTGACATTCTTGAAAATAAAAACATAGACACTTGATTTTAAAAATGAGCAGAACTAAGATTGACACATAATTGCAGTTTAAAATAGAAGCCACCACTCTTGTTTTTCATTTTTCCTTCTGATCTTCAAACATACATATATGGCTCAAGGAATAAGAATTCTCACCTTCGCTTCTGCTTTCTTCATGGTTTTGATCATGTAACGATCATCGTTGGTCAAGTAAAAAAAGCTCCCACTTTTCCCAGGAGACGAGAGTTCTCTAAGGGCATCATTCCCACAAATTGATAACATGTAGTCAGCTGCATCTACCTTGAACAACTTCCTTAGAGTCCTGAAATTCATATCATTTACATGTAAATTAAAATTTATTTTCTATGTCCGATTCTGTGTTTCTAGCGTTACTATATAGTAAACCGGTCTCACCTGAAAACTAATGGGCAATAATCCTTCCACCTAAATTCACAGGACTGGTGTGGGGGAGTGTGTTTGGATCCCTCTGGAGGAAATCTAGTCCACACCTTCTCCTTTGGATCAAATGCTGAAGCCTTTAAATCGAGTGTTGCAGCCGGACCGGGCCTTCCCACAGAATGCCTGTGGAATAAAAAAAAATCTCACACATAACTGCAGGATCAGACTTAAAAGCAAGCGGTTCAAGCCCAGAAAATAATTCAAGTAGAGATTAGCAGATTCTGACATGTATGAAGTCTTAAAACTGGTTCAAGAAAAGGATAACAGTTAAGATGATTCGTCCAATACAATCCTCTGTTTGAATACCATGGTTTGTTTTAGTTTGCTTATAATTAGTCATTTTTGGTTGTTCAGCTGGGATTAGGGAGATAAGATGTAACAATCCCACATCGGATAATATTGGCGTTAACTATGTGCGTATAGGTCTTTTGGACACTCTACCCGACTTGATTTTCAAGAGTCCACTATCATGAAAAATCTTTCATGAAAATAATCATGAAAGATTTGTGATCCTTGGATTACACTTAAAATAAAGTATCACACACTAATCAAGGTAATCCAAGGATCATAAATTTTTCATGAAAAAAATTTCATGATCCCTAACTTTTCTCTTGAATAAGTTGATATGTTTTTACTCCTTTCTTCAATCCATGTTTTTTTCTAAATTCTAGAATAACATAACACAATGTAGTATGTGCTCCGTTAAAATAATATTACAATATAATTTTTATTTGACCAATTGATTTTTTTAATAAAAATTACATCTAGAGTCCATTTAATTTATCATGAATTATTATGCCTCAGGCAAAAAAAATATTATCAAGATTCAATTATAAGATTTGGATGGGAACCTTTTTTGATTTTCCATGATTATACATTGTTTTTGTTTGTTTAATTCAACTTTGATTTATTTTTCAACATAAAGTTAAATTAATAGTTAGTGACTAGTGGTTGATACTGGATAGGTGTTGCAAAAATAACAAAAAAAAAATACTATATTATTGGAGCACCTGTGTTGTTTTAGCACAGTAAATACTACATGTTTATGGAGTAACTTTTAATAAATTTGTATAGACTGCACTTTTTCAATACTAAAATAGCACAAAAAAATGCTACACCAATAGAGATGTTCAAAGTAATTTTTTTTTTAATCTTTGTTAAATATATCTATATATTAAAGTTTTGATTTTTTTTTATCGGAATTAAAATTTTGATTCAATTTTGTATTTTTTGTCTCAAGTTTTGCGTGGTCATTATTTTATTCAATTTGGCACTCATAAGGAATTTCTACACATTTAGAGAGGCCCCCATCCTGTCTCTTGACGAGTGTTTAAATGAGGGGTAATGCTACATATCATGAAATAAATATCATGAAAAATTTCATGAAACACCAATAGAGATGTTCAAAGTAATTTTTTTTTTAATCTTTGTTAAATATATCTATATATTAAAGTTTTGATTTTTTTTTTATCGGAATTAAAATTTTGATTCAATTTTGTATTTTTTGTCTCAAGTTTTGCATGGTCATTATTTTATTCAATTTGGCACTCATAAGGAATTTCTACACATTCAGAGAGGCCCCCATCCTGTCTCTTGACGAGTGTTTAAATGAGTACAGAAATGAGTGTGATTCTGTCATTGTTGTAATGCTTGCCATCCTAAACATCATGAAAATGATACATCCAAATCTAAGTGAGAATCTAGGACAAAATAGAAATACTTCCAAGACAACAAACCAAACTAACAAGCATATCCAAAAGAAAACATAGAAAACATCAAATGGAAAAAAAGAGAGATTAGAGAAACCATCATAATATCCACAAGTCATAATTCATACCTGATTCCCAACTGCAAATTGAGCATTAGCTCATAGTTCTTATGCCCTTTAGAAATTGTCTCTCCTTGTCTCTTCACTGCCCTTGGTATCCTAAGTGGACTCCCTCTAGCACTCCAATCTTCAATTTGCAACCCCCCCATCCCATTCTCCACCATCTCTCTCCCTCCCGCGGCCGCCACCAAACTCTTATCAAAACCTTCCCAAGATCCCCCACCACCACCACTTCCACCCTCCAACATCCTCATCCTACTCAAATCCTTATCCACCCCGGCATCCAACCTCCCATCCACCGACATCCTCCTTGGCCTAATATTAGCATCCACTGCCTTTGACGACCTCCACACCGCTAACTTTTTTTGCGATGGCATTAACGAAACCTTCTCATTAGGACAAACCTTACAATCACTCAAATCAACATTAAAAACCTCTTGTGGATCCCACTCAAAGTTCCCCTCCGGCGACGTCCCGGACGGATAATAAGTCCCATTTTGGTCTTTAGGATCTTTGCTCCAATTCCCCACGTAAAAACTCCCATCTGCCCATCTAAATGTTCCATTTCCTTTAGGCAATCCATCTTCCCAATACCCATCATACCTATTCCCATTTGTCCAAATAAATGTCCCTTTCCCATAAATTATCCCATTTTCCCACTCTCCTACATAATAATTCCCACTACTCCATTGATACCTCCCATGCCCCTCTTGCAATCCCCGGCACCATTCGCCATCGTAGCAATCTCCATTCGTATAATTCTTAATTCCATGACCATGTTTCAAGTTCATAACCCAAAAACCACGATACGTATCACCATTGGACCCAGTATACGTGCCTTTACCGTCCATATACCCGCTTTTGAATTCGCCTTCGTAGGTAGCCCCGGAAGGCCAACTGAACCTACCTTTACCCATTGTTTTGCCTCTAAACCAATCTCCTACGTACATACAACCGTCAGTCCAGAGGTACTTTCCAAGCCCGTGAGGGAAGTTATCGGACCAATGGCCCGTGTAGTAATCGCCATTGGAGAGGACTCTGTCTGCATGGTACACCTCTCCGGTTCCTCGTCCGCTGGCATTGTTGTCGTCATCGAGTTTTTCGATGGTGATGTCATCGTCGTCGTCTGCATGGGCTACGTAGGTTGTACCGAAGATGCTGTGGGCTCGCTTTTTGGCGGCTGCTTGTGTCTTTCGAACCGTGGCTTCCCATGCCTTCATGATGTCTGAATTTCGACAAATTCTAAATCTGTGTCTGATGAGGGTGTTCAAATTTGCATTTTTTTTAAAAATGTGATTTTAACACCAAATGGGTCTAAAACTGTATACATGTTTCATGGAAATCAGCTCAGAACAGATGATGAATAATATGTGTTAAAACAACATGGTTCGTTGGCTCTACAATGCAACAAAATCTAGAGAATGGAAAAATCAGATGATGAGACCCTCTTTCTCTGTCTGTCTCTCTTTTGTGTAACTAACCCAATCAAGGTTCATTTTTTTTTTTTTTTGGGTTCATATTTGTTTTTGTTCATTTTAGTTGTGAATTATGCTGCTGTGACATGAATTGCACGGAAAGCCCTGAAAGACAGGTAAACAATTGGGACATCTGTCATGAGCGGAATGGCCGGTTGGAACTTTAATTAGACTATGTTTAAGCTGTCATAAAATTTTACAGATGTGTGTAATATTAAGAAAATTATTGTGTGCTTTTTAAGAAATTATAACGTAGAGTGCTACGATCATGTAAATTCTTTTAATTAAAGGGTAAATTATTTTAGTAATTTTTATATTTTAATTTTTGTATCATTTTGATTTTTATAATTTTAATCGACTGATTTTAACTTTTTATTTATTTTTTATTTTTTTTATAGATATGGACTGATTTTAACTTTGAATTTATAATTTTGTATCAATTTGGTCAAAATGATAATAATTTTATGTTTTTTTGATGAATCTGCACATAATCAGGCTGTGTCATATTTTTATAAATAAAATTGTAAACTTGTTTAATTTAATGACCATTTTTTTTTCTTCAAAAACTTTGATCGGCATTATGAATTAGATCAAATTGACACAAAAAATTAAAATTAAAGATCAAAATTGAATTAATTAAAAAAATAGGAACTAAAATAACACATTAAAAAAAAAATTGGGATTAATGATGTAATTTCTCCGTACTTAAAAGTAGGTCCCATGTGATCATATAGATTGGGGCAATGGCTCATAGCATGGAATAAATTCTCTCAATGACAGCAAAACCATGAAAATTTGAGGTAGATGTTGGGTCAAACGAAGCAATTTTGTGTCAGAATCTTCGGTGTGTTTTGTGGCAATGGGGAAGACTTTTAATTTGTTGTTTCTTACAACCGCCAAAACCGCGAAAGGCTTACACTTGGAGGGATGAGAGAAATTAAGGTGGTACCATTTGCCATTTACCGGATTGTCTCGTCGTTCATGAGACTTATCTCTATATCCATTTCTTTGCTAGCATTTTTTTATTTATTTATAAAGATTTTGCTAGCTAGGGCTACCATTTATTGTTACCTTTTTTGGGTGTTGACCATGAAAAATAAGGAGGAACTCTCACTTTTTTTTTTTTGTTTTTCGTTTTTTTATATTTTATTAGTTTTAATTAATTTTTTATTTTAGTTTTTTTTTTAATTTTTTAAATACGTTCAATTTAGATTTACTTAAAAAATAAAATATTTATGAAAAAATCCAAAAAGAAAACGAAAAACAAGAAACATATTGACTTTTTGTATATTTTTTTTGTATTCTTTCGTATTTAGTAAATTTTTTTTAAAAAAAATTGTAAAAAGTTTATACTTTTTTAAGTGTATCAATTAATTATATCTAAAAAATAAAAAAATGATTACTATATTAAAAAACTCATTATAAACAAAATAATACGAATTGAAAACTTAAAAAAATATTTTTAAAAACCCCAAACCAAAGAAAGTGAACACCACTTCCTGAACAATATTGTACGGACAAAAAGAAAAGAAATGATCTTAAGTTTATTATTAGTGCTTTGCTCATTTTTCATATTCTAAACTATAAATTTTGAAAATTGTTTAAGAGTTTTAAAACAATGAGTTCTAATAGCTCTAAATGTATTGAAGTTTTAATTGATTTGATGTTTTGCTCTTTGTTTTATTTTGTTTATTTATTTATTTATTTATTTCCTGTATTACTAGTTCATTAGAATTGATTTAATGCTCTCTTTTAGTGGTATGTATCACTAGGGATAAAATTTTTGGCTTGAAAAAGGGTTGGGTCAAATTTGGGTCATGTGATATGAAGTTAGCGGAGTCAATGTGCGTCCTCAAAAGGTAATGTGGAGATTGATGTTTCTTAATGGAGATAGTTGGAGTCTTGGGTGCTAGTCTGCTGCTTCAATTAGTTCTGGAGTGTGTGGTGTAGTGCCATTGAAGAGTCAAGATCTTTTTGACTTTTTTTTTTGGCTTGTTTTTTCCCCCAATTTTTTTTTAGCTTTCGAATCTAAAAAATTGTGAGCCCAAGAATTGGTTGTGTGGGTGAGAATTGCAATAGTGGAGGAGTTTACCCGTCGATTCTTTTTCAGTACACATCACTATCTTGTATTTTTAATTTTATATTTTTAGTGAAGTTTTTCTTTGTTGATAAAAAAAAATAAAAATGAGGAAGATAAATTCATGAGTTAATTACCCTATAAAAATATTTAAAAGTGATTGAAGGGTTGATATACAATTTGAAATGATTTGTTCTTTTTTTAATAGACTATTATATTTTCGATTTCTATTCAATTTCTTAATGAATATTATTAATTAGATTAAATTGACACAACATAAAAAACTTAAAAAACAATTAATACAATTAAAACTAAAGGAATCAAATTGACAAAAAAATAAATTAAAAATTGTAATGACTTTAATATGATTTGCCCTAAGTTGATCTAGGTCCTATGCTAATGTATGATGATACATTTTTGTGGGTATTTCGGAAAGCTAACAAATTGTTCCAGCATTGAGGCGAAGATCTGGGCTCTTTATAGGGGTTTGACGATAGCCTTCGAAAAAGGCTACAAGGATCTTAGCATTGAGACAGACTCTCAATATGCTATTGATATGCTAAAGAGGAACATTGAGGTTACTTCCCCACTGAGAAGTATAGTGGAGGATTCCAAATTTCTCATCCAAAGATGTGGCTATTCGATTCAACATGTTAAGAGGGAAGGCAAAGTGCAGACAGACTGGCTAAAATGGGAACAAATCAAAATGAGGTGTTGGTTGTTATGAATGATCCTCCGGAAGAAATCTGAGGTCAACTAGTGACGGATATGGTTGGTCAGAGTTATCTCAGACTTTGTTCTGGGGATACTTAGTTTTTCAATCTTAGTTTGTCTGTTTGTTTTGCATTTCCTTTTTCCATTTCCTTTGGATATTTATACGTTACTAAATATATTTTTTCATTTGATGATATTCAAAAAAGAAATGTTAAGAATTCAGAATATTTATTCAAAAGAATGTTTAAAAAGAACAGTTTGCATTTCAAAGAAGTGTCCTATTATACAAATTAAATGTACACCATTCACTATCATTAGTAGGGCAAATTACAAAATAATAATAATAATAAATAAAATAAAATAAAATTTAGAGTTTCGCGTGTTTTTCAATTTAAATTTTGAGATTTCAGTTTTAACAATTAAAATCTTGATATTACTCTCATGTCACAATTTACCCCTTCCATCTATTTCTACCTGATAAACTAACGGAGACTTCCATTTTCAACAGTAGAATTTTTAAATTGAAATCCACATATTCAAACTCTTGTTTCTTCCTCGTTATAATTTTGTTTTGCCTTATTTTTGCATCATTGGATTCATCTCATGGCTTAGTTTTCATTCCATCATTTATGAGCTTTATTTCTCATCTTTTCGCGTGCTGTCAAAACTCCAAAAGTTGATAAAAAACAATATTTCTCTCTTCTTTTTCTTCATCTATCTTCATCTCCATGCTTCTTTCTTCCTCCTTCATTTTCACAATTATTCTCTTTCTTTTCCTTTTGCTTCATGGCCCTTCCACTAAGCTCAAGGCAGCCACCAAACCTCCGACAATGGTGGGTCCACCATCGCCACCACCTCTCATCTTTGGCTCCTCTGTAGCGATCCTGATTTTTTTATAAGTCTTTATTTATTTTTTATTATTATTATCATTTTATTTTATTTTATTTTTGGCTTTATTAATTGTGTGGTTATTTTTATAAGAATTCGTGATGAAAAATAAATGATAAAACATAAAATTATTAAATTTAAATATTTATGTCGTCAAATATAAATATTTATATTATCAAATTATTAAGAATTTATTAAAAATATTTTTGAATGACTCAATGCATAGCAAATAACACCTTGTTTGTGTAAGATAATCTTAACAATGGCAATTGATCGAAATACCTGTGAGGGTGTTTATCACGCAAGAATAATGATTATCCGAAAGTCAATAATAGAGTAAAATCGATTGAAATTGATGAATCACGTTGAGATAGAGCAAAAAAAATAAGGAATACTTACGTGTAGATCCTAATAAACAAGCATTTTGTTTAATAGGTCCTATGAAAAAATTTGTCATAAAAAAACGTCACTAATTATAAGTTTTAGCGACAATTTATAAAAATTATGACAAAAAAAAGTCATTAATTGTCAATTTTTAGCGACATAAAAATTTGTCACAAAAAAATTATTTTTAGTGACAATTTTACCAAGACTTATTTTCAATAGGACTTGATGAAAATTAAGTGAAACTATTAAGATCTATTGATAATTTATCCATTAAAGTTTTTATATATTGAGATTTAAATTTATAATATAATATATTTAAGAAGTCAATTAGGTTAGAAGTTAATTAAAAGAAAACAAAGAAAAAAAGAGAAGGGTTGTGCCTGTACAGCGGCTGTGCAAGCCGAGAGAGAGAGAGAGAGAGAGAGGGGTATCCGGCGGTTGCGTGTGTGAACGAGAAAGGAGAAGAAGAAAAGAGTCAGGTTTTTTTTTGGGTGGCTTCATTAATTTTTTAAATATTTATTTAATCTTTAAAAAAAATATTATGAGTACAAAATTCACTTCTTTTGATTTATGTTTAATTCATTGTTTTTATTTATTTATTTGATATTAGTTTGATTTTGTATTTAAATAAAGATGATAGATTGATTTTAATTATTTTGATTAGTGGTGTATGTAAAGTTTAGGATTTTTAGATGATTGATTGATTTTAATTACTTTGATTAGTTATGTTTGTAAGGTTTAGGGTTTTTAGATGATTGATTGATTTTAATTATTTTGATTAGTTGTTTATGCCAGGTTTAAGATTTTTATATGTATTTGTTTTATGGTTGTAATCACACTCATGGATATATGAAATTAAAATAAATTAGAAAACCATAAATAAATTCTTTACACTCCACCATGACTCCAAGGATTGTTGTTTTATTTGAGTGATGGTGAGAAAGAAGAAAGAGTGTATAAAAAAAAGTGAGGATTATGAGATTTATTTGAATGCCTTAGGC